CACACACACACACACACACACAAGCATATGCACACAAATGAACTGTAAGTACAACCTTCCACACTTCCTGGTTCTGCCAGTTTCTCACAAGGTTAGAGGCGAGCCTTCCGTTGCTGAAATCAGATTTTATGTGAGTGTTTACACACTCTGCAAGTCACAGAGCTGCTCTATTGTTTTCACATCATTTCCAGACTGGCGTTCCCACTTCCTACTCCACTGTGTTATGCTGCCCTGAGGCACATTCCTCAAATTGTGTGAAATTTGTGCAGCAAGTGTTTCTGTATACATGCATGTGCCAGTGTGGTCATGCAAGAGAATGTTTTGCTTACATTGACTGTGTGTGTGAGTTTGTGCACAGCTTTCCAAACATGAATTGCATTTTTGAGTGCAAAAATCAATTTGCTCCTGGCTTGAAAGATTAATCTTAAATGGTTATTCTGATACTTGCTCTCTCAAGAGGAAAAAATCATCTCAGCTTGTATGCATTCATTAGCTTTGACATTGACTTCAACCCCAGGGTAGATTCAAGGATGTGATAGCAGGGAGCAGCAGCTTATATGCAACTCCTGACCTGCAGGGAAGTTTAGAGAGGTCTGTGTCCGGCTAGCTAAAGGCACAGGGAGGGAACAGAGCCAGGCTTGTTCTGCACTGCAGGAGGAAACACAGAGATGGTGTTGTGACGCTTATAGTTAAGTAGGTAGCTGCTGGCTAACAGTTGGCTAAATTTTGGAAACATCAGCCTATAAGCTGAAAAGGAGCAGTATATTAGACTCTTACAGACACCACTTAACTGCATATGGTAGGAAAAACTGTAGCTGTTGTGAGTTCTTTGTACTGGATTTGAATGCATACAGACAGATGAAATTTTAATTCTTTGGTATGTCACTGGATTAAATTCAGTAAGAGTTCCCTGCAGATTTTGCTTCCACTCGTCAGGGTCAGCTACAGACCGGCTGAGGTGGCAGAGTTTACTGTCCTGCTCTGGGGGACTTTACCAGCACAGCTTGCTTACACAAGTGCTTCAACCAAGGTCAGCTGGTTGCAGCATGGCTATCATACCTACTTAGTAACCCTGCAGCCACTGTTATTAGTCCGACTTACAAATACAACTTGAAAAGTAACATTTTTGGCACATATTGTTGTGTCAGTATAGCATTGTTGAAAACATTACAAATTGTTAAATGATGATTTTTATTAGTCTTCAAGAAATTCAGAACAAAAAAGAAATGAAAGTAAATTGTGGAGTACATAATGGCATGCTTGGTTTGATAAGCCTGACAAATGGCACTCTTACCACGTTTATCGTAACTGATTGTTCGGTGATATCACCAGGTTGGTTTGTTTTGACTTCTGGATGAAGCATAAAATATGTTAAACTTAAGCTGATATGAAAAGTAATGACTTTCCAAGTTTTTTCATGCATGGGTTTTCTATTCTAATGTTAGAAGACAGATTTACTTACAACAAAGTCTTGTTCATCTGAGACCTTCTTAAAAAGTTTTTCAGGGTTTTTAGTCATTACATTGCATCCATAGAGCTCGTACAAATTTGTGCAGATTTAAAAAATAAATAAATACATTTTTACAAAAACTTGAAATGTAAAATAGCTTTGTTGTCTGAAATGGACTGTCAGGCTTGCAATGGAAAATTATGCTCTGTGTACTCCTGTGTGGGATGTTTCTGTCACAAAGTGCAAACATACCTGCAGTGTTTAAACGGTGACAGATGTGAAGTTGGTGGCTGGAACATCAGTGAGGGTTTTAGTGTTGCAAAAGCAAATAACAACAGTGGAAATGGGGTATTATGGAAAGTATTAGACTTAACTGAGTGTCGCCTTCCTGTTTTTGTGTCTGTCAGACACTTGTAATGACTTGCTTAGAAGATGATGTTCAGAGAGTAGTCGACTCAATAAACTACTGAGAATTGTGCTCTTGTTTTTGTAAAACATGAAAGTAGTTGGTTTGGTTCTGGTGAGTAGCCTCGGGCAGCTTTTGTTTACTGGGACTAGTCTATTCGCTGGAGAGAAATGTGGGATTTAGACAAAAATAAAAACTGCACATATGCTTTAAATTCATGCTTGCATCCTCTGTTGGATCATCGAGAGGAACGCTGGTGACATGAACTCACAGGTGTTTTTTTTTTTCAGTCTCTCACCTTTTCTCTCACCCTCACCTCTACCTCCCCCATTTCAACTTCTCACTTTGACCATGACACTGATTTATACATCCTACTTCTCCTCTCTCGACAGGGCTCACTTTTTTTTTTGCTTAAAGCTATATCTAAAATCCCTCCCACTAATCTCTACATAAACTATTTCTAATTTACTCTATAGCAAGTGGTACCTTGAGATTTCAGACACTTTTGAGACTTCATCATCCACTGCAGCAGAAATGCGTGCTGTTTTTTGTGAGACTGTTAGCAAGGGTGTTACAAACCCTCAAAACAGTCAGCATGTACAAAAACATACTACAAAGCCTTTGAATTTTTAAGCACACTGTTGTCAAGGGTCCCACACTGCAAAGTACAAAGAAAACATTAAGACTAAGTGTGGCTGTGGTTGAAACGGCTCCAGGAATATCTCTGAAAACAAACAAGAGCTATATCTAAGCATTTTATATAAAAACCTAATGTTACTTTGTACCTCAAGAGTGTGGCCTCGATTTGATGTTGTTTGTTTGTCATTATTACCAAGCATAAAATACACAAGATTTTGTGAAATCTGGATGACTGTCTGGTCAATCTGCAAGTGCACAGTGCAAAATGCTGCATTCAGCCTGCACTCAAAGCTGGCTGATTTCAATGTTTCTGGTCCATTTGCTCCATTTTGCTGAAGGTGCTTTGTCTTTGCAGCAAAAGAGGGGGGGAAAAAAGGGCATTCTCTCAAAATAAATAGCATACAAGCAGAGTAAGGAGTGATTATGTATAAGACGTCTTTCCTAATTAATTAATAATATATGCGCTGAATGGGGACCCCAGAAAAACTAGTTGGCTTGGACTAGGGGAGTAAAAGGGATTCAGAATCACAGATGTTGTCTTTAAGCTAGGGCCTGACCGATATGGATTTTTTGAGGCCGATGCAGATTCCGATATTTGGCAAAAAAATAAAAAATTCTGGTAACTAATTAATCGGCCGATAAATTAAAAAAAATAAATAAATACTGAATGAAGTAGCTTCTTTTTTGGTTCCTTAATGCTTACAACAACAAAGATATGAATCACAGGCAGAACATTTTACTGTTTTACAGTACTTTGTTCTTTAGTATTTGTTTAACTTTACAACAGAGAGAAATTTCAAGAACAAAAACATGCAACAAAGCATGAAACATAATATGCATCAGTAAAAACAAAAGTTTTTCAAACAAGTATGTCTGTAATGTGGGGTATTTTATTTTAAATTTGCATTGTGCATTTTTCTTTCTATGGACCATGCATGAATATAGCTACCAGTTGTACTGATGACTTTATCTTTAGATTTCGGCCACAGGTGTATGCTGTATATAAGCAACATAATGAGTTACTGGATAAACATTATTTATGTATCCCTCTGATGTTCTGTACTCTCAAAGACTATGCTGTCTTTAAAGCTGATGAGAATAAGTCAATAAAAAATGTAAGTTGAATAAGTTAGTTAAAAATTTTGATAACAAAGTTTAAAAAGTTGTTTTCTATAGTTCTCTGAAAAACCATCAGAGTGAGTGCTCCATGCGCTGTTGTGGTTTCAGAATTTGCAGCAGAGTGAGTGATCTTACTGCTGCACGTTCGTAAACTATCTTAACTCATCATCATCTCCATGTGCAAAATTTGACTTGTTTACAACAAGCAGTAGCAAAAACTGAGCTTTTTGTGGTGTTGCTGAAGTGTTTTTTTTAATATATATGCTTTTGCCTTGGAGAACATTTGTCTTTTTACAAAATCAAATTGTACAAAATAAATGTATGAAAGCGACACTTAACAGCATTTACTGTTTTATGAGAAATTAAGAATATATCAGCGATTAATCGGCAAAACTCCGGCCGATTATTAGTATTTTGAAAAGGGCTATAATCAGCTTAAATCTGATTGGTTAAAGCCACAGTTTCATTGCAATGCATTTTGAGCTACCTGTGCCTGCACTTTTTATTCTGAAGGCCTCAGTGCAGATTTCTGTGACCCTGGCAACACATGATGGCTGAAATATGATTGGATAAAAAAAAAGAAGCTCTAATATAAATATACACTGTTGGAAGCACCACAGCCCAGAGACACGCTATTAAATGAAGAGAACAGACTATTGGGAATAATGTAAAAAGATTAATGGGAAAATATTACAACGCAAGTCAGTGATTCTGATAGAGTTTAGGCCAGCAGAGAAGGCCTTGCTGGCCCTGACAGCCCACCACCGGCTCAATTGGATTTAGGTCGGACAGGCCAGTCCATAGCATCAATGCCTTTATCATGCAGGAACTGCTGACACAGTTCGACCACATGAGGCCTAGCATAGTCATGCATCAGAAGGAAGCCAGGGCCCACTGCACCAGCATATGGTCTCACAGTGGGTCTGAGGATCTCAACCCAGTACCGAATGGCAGTCAGGGTACCTTTGACTAGCCCATGGAGGGCTGTCCCGCCCTCCAAAGAAATACCTCCCCACACCATTACTGACCCACCGCCAAACCGGTCATACTGGAGGATGTTACAGGCA